TGTCGAGTTGGTTCCAATTCCTAACAATAAGATTTCTAAGGCTGTAAATCTTTACTGGAGCAGGAAGCCTCATCTTTCTCTCTTGTAGGTAGTCCCAAGTATGCCTTGATTTATACACAAACCTCAGAAAATGTCACCAATACCATCGCTTCCCGAGCCTCCATTTAATTTACTTTTTTTATAACTCAGAAGTGATTAGGTTTAGAATCCACTCTACTCTGGAATAATTAACATAATAAAGAAAACCTTACTTCCAAACAGGATGATATCCAAAGGAATAGGGATTAGGCTTCCAACATATATTTTTTGGGGTTGGGTGACCAGAGGCACAATTTAATCTATAACAAGGAGTAAATGAGGTAGTGCATCTAAAACAATTTGGGCAATTCTTGGTACTTTGTATTCAAAAACCGTTCGTTTTCACTGTTGCTGTCTTTGCCATAGTTGTCAGCCGCTCTTGGGGCTACTTTCCGCATTTGTACAATGAAGGAGTCAGATCCGGGAGCCTGAGGCCACTTCCGCTTTAGCATTTTGTAACCTTGTAGTTCCGTGACTCTAAAACTGGCTTTGACTGGTTTTAGAAGTTCCACATCACACTTTTATTATTAAAATCATTCTATTTGCAGTCTGGAAGAAAACAGAAAAAAAAAAAAAATTCACCTTACCAACGAGGGTGTCTCTTTCGCTTTGCACCGATTTTAATTCCCATGGATGGCACTGAGATTTATCAATATGTTTGAAGAGGATATGAAAACATAATATTTGCATGTAACATTTGCAGTCAGTTCCTCAACTTTAGCTCCCAATCAAACCCTTAAATGCATGTTTCTACATTAATAGTCAGACCTGGAGAAACTGCATTAACAGACAGTTCAGCTTAAAATCAACATAAGAAAAAAAAAAAAAAAGAAAGAAAAAATGATTATAGAAGCTGGAGGAATGAACAGAAAGATTGAAATCTTACAGCTATTCATTCTCAGTGGTTAATATTACCTAAAAGTGTTGGTCTTAATTGTCTTGGCCTCGTTACATAGATGCTGGTCCCGTCATTCAAGGGAATAAAATGTGACTTATCACCTTGCAGGCTGAGCTTGCATCTTTCAGGTTTCAGTGGCAAGGACAATTTAATACTACATCTTCAAAGTAATTTTATTTAAATTGTATTTTTGCACTTCTATTTTCAAACGGGCATGCCTGATAGCTGGGAAGTACAAATTGGAAAGAGTCAACTACCAATACACTCATTGAGAACACTTAATAAGAAAGGTATAAAAGTGAACTTGAATCTCCATTTTTCCTTTACACCCTAACTTCCTTACTGGTTAAAATACAGGCAGGCACTGGAGTCAGTTTCATGAGTTTTAATCCTAGGACCATTATTTACCAGCTGTGTGATATTGGCCTAGCTACTCAACCTCTCTGTGCCTTAATTTCTTCATTTGTGAAATGAGTAATAATTGATTGTTGTTAAGTTGTTAAGTGTTGTTGAGTTGGTTCTAACTCATAGCGACCCTACATAGGGTTTCCAAGGAGCATGAACCACTGACCTTGCAGTTCAAACTGACTTTGAAGTCCAGTGCATGAACCCACAGTGTCACCCCAGGACCCTTATGTAATTACATAATTGATACAGCGTGGTTGTGAGCAGTACATTAAAGTGCTTAGAACAATGCTGGCATACAGTAAGCATTCAATAAATCTTAGCTGCTATTATTTTTAAAATACTTGGGTGATACACTAAGCTGCTGACCAAAAGACTGGTCTGTTAAGTGCCATCAAGTTGGTTCTGACTCAGAGTGAGCCTGTATAGGGTTTCTGAAGAGCAGCTGGTAAGTTTGAACTACCAAACTTGTGATCAGCAAGCTACTGAATAAGCCCTGACTGACTGAGTTCAAACCGACTTTGAAGTCCAGCGCTTTAATCAACAGTGCCACACCAGGACTCCCAATAACAACAACAACAAAGTGCTGTCAAGTTGGTTCCAACCCAATGGTGACCCTGTATAGGGAGATCTTGAACCACTGACCTTATAATTTAAAACAACTTTGCAGTCCAGCGCATTAACCCAGAGCGCCACCCCAGGACCCTTATGTAATTATATAATTGATAAAGGGTGGTTGTGAGTGGCACATTAAAGTGCTTAGAACATTGCGGACACACAGTAAGTATTCACTAAGTCTTGGTGGCGGCTGTGTGCCGTGGAGTCAGTTCTGACTCATAGTGACCCTGTACAGGGTTTCCGAGGCTGTAAATCTTTACAGGAGCAGAACGCCTCATCTTTCTCCCGCGGAACAGCTGGTAGTTTTGAACTGCTGACCTTGTGGTTTGCAGCCCGATTCGTAATCACTAAGTCTTATCTGTTATTATTGTTAAAGGCCCTGGTGATACAAATGGCTAGCACACAACGCTGCTGACCAAAGGCTGGAGGTCTGACTCTGCCCAGAGGAGCCTCAGTTTCATCATTATTGGCTTCAGGGGTTGGTGTGCAAATTGGAATAATAGGGCTATTAACTAGTCTTCCTTTTGTTGTTGTTAAGTGCCATCAAATCGGTACCCGGCTCATAGTGACCCTGTACAGTCTTCCTTTTAGGCATATGGTATTACCCTATCACAGACAGCATTGTATTCATGATAGGTATTGAAATGGTCTTTGTACGATGAATGTGATGCCTTTCCTCTTTATTTGTCATTCCTAACATAGTAAACAGTATGATTCATTTTTTATAACTTCCAATTTTCCTAGATTCATACTTCATATATTCCATATTCTGATTATTGATGGGCGTTTACAGCTGTTTTTCTCATTTTGAGTTGTGCTCTGTCAGTAAATGAAGATCCCCAAAGCTTTGCTCCATTCAATCATTATGATTAAACTGCTTTGAGGAGGCAGCTCTTCTCCAGTCGTATTTTGAGTGCCTTCCAACCTGAGGGGCTCATCTTCTGACACTATGTCTGACAATGTTCCACTGCCATTCATGTTTTCATTTTCCAGTACCATATCTGGCAATGTTCTGTTGCTATTCATAGATATTCAGTGGCTAACCATTTAGAAGTGGTCTACCTCTCTTTCATCTTGTTGTTGTTGTTAAGTACCGTGGGGTGGGATCCAATTCGTAGTGACCCTGCACAGGGTTTCCAAGGCTGTTAATCTTTATGGGAGCAGAACTCCTCATCTTTTTCCCGTGGAACAGCTGGTAACCACTACACTACCAGAGCTCCTTTCATTCCAGTCTTCCTTAATCTGGAAGGCCTACTGGAACCTGTCCACTATGACCTTGATAGTGTTTAAAATACCAGTGGCACACCTTTCAGCATCACAGCAATTTACAAGCCACCACAGTATGACAAACGGACAGATGAGTGGTAGTTAAATATATTTGTTGTTGTTGTTGTTAAGTGCTGTTGAGTCAGTTACGACCTATAGCAACCTTGTATAGGGTTTCCAAGGAGCAGCTGGTGAGCTTGATCTTGCAGTTCAAACAAATGTTGCAGTTCAGTGCATTAATCCACAGTGCCACACCAGGAGTCCAGTTAAATGTATTAGTCAGGGCTTATGCAGTTACAAGTGGCAGAAAACCAAACTCAGACTGGCTGGAGGAGGAAAAGAAAACTATTGACTCCCATCACTGATGTGGTGATGTAGGGTAAGCACTGGACTCCTGATCACAAGTTTTGACAGTTCAGATTCACCAGCTGCTCTATAGAAACCCTATACAGGGTCACTTTGAGTCAGAACTGACACTTAATACACACACGCGCATGCGCACAACGAAAACATTGCAGATGGGATTTAGATATGGCTGAATCCAAGGGTTCATCTTTAGCCATATTTCGATTCTGCTTTCCTTTGTGCTGGCTTTATTCAGGCTCTCCCCACATGGTGGGTTCTAGCACTTCCAGATGTATGTCATCCCAAGTTCCAGAGTCATTCCAGAGTAAAGAAATATTTTCTCTCCTAATTGCTCAGTCAAAGTCTTGGTGGGTTCTTACCTGGATCCTATGTCCAATCAGAACTAAGCACTGCAGGTCGACTAAATGCTGACCTGCCTGAGTGGCCAGCACTGAGTCACATTATTACCTGGGGAGCTAAGGGTATAGTTGGCACCAGTGGACCTAAATGAAAACAGACTGCAGAAGGAGTGGGCCCCAGGGAGAGTCATAAACATTGTCATGGCTATATGCCAGAATGCTACACGTCAGTCCTCCTAGCTCACTCAAGAGACCCCTGTATGGTGGCTAACAATGGCACGTTGTGAACACTACTCTCTGGAATTGAAGGGGGTAGACATATTATTGTGGATCTTTTCATTGTTGTTGTTAAGTGCCATCGAGTCAGTTCTGACTCATGGTGACCCTGTATAGGGTTTCTGAGGAGCTGCTGGTGTGTTTAAACCACCAACCTTATGGTTAGCAATCTAATGCTTATCTCACAGATCCACACCAGGCCTCTTAGAGAAAGAAAGAAAAAAAAATTTTTTTTGGCCAAGATGGTCAGAGAATATTTCATGCAGAAGATGACATTTGAATTGAACCCCCAAAATAAAACGGTGGTTGGATATTTAACAGTTGGGAACGCAGGAAGCGCATTTCAGGAGGAGGAGGAGCTGATTTGAGCAAAGGCACAGAGGCAGGAAATGACAAAATTTTACTGGAAAGTTGTAGAAAAGATGCTGGGAATGTTTGGATCCTGATTTAGAATAAGTTGAAAGCTCAAATTCAGTGAAGGTCATCAGTGACTGAAGGAAATAAAGTAGCCAATACGGAAACAGGATACATATGTCTTTAATATTGGTGAAGGATACAAGACCTTCACTGCCTAACGACACTTCCATAGAAAGGGGACATACTCAATTGAAGCCACAGAGCATTAACAAGCAATGACCAGAATGCGTGGAGTGGGGAGTGCCTCCAGAGAGGATAGGTTGACTGTTAGCCTCTTGGGACTTGGAGTCTTGAACATTACAGGTTAGTTCATCTCTCTATCCTTTCTGTCTTCATAGGCCAAATCCATCCTGCAAGGGTTCCTGGAGGATTCAGGTCATACAATCCAGGATCTCAAGAGCTTTCACTTAGTAGGACTGGGTGCAATCTTGTGTGCTATGAATATCACCGAAATTCCACTTATAAAGATCTCAGAATTCAGGTAACCAAATACTCATGTGTGATCCTTTGATTGATTCGTGCAATCAGCAAGCCATGCTTCACTTCCTGATACTTTGTCACTTTTCTGGGCTGGATTAAGGAGTGGAATTGATTGGATTCTTTTGTGATACTGATCCCATCTTCTACACATCTTATTTTGTTTTGGAGAGTCCCCCACCCAGGCTCACACTGTATCTTTTCCTCATAACCAGAATGGTAGTGGCCAGAATTGGGACCCTGCTCTGCAGCACCCATGTTTTAAGTGAGTTTAAGAAGAAAGCAGAAGTCATATTTGGCGATCCCGCTAAGTGGACCAGTCCCATCTTGCAGGAGCTTGGGACCATAGCAGGTAGGAGCCACCCTGAGCATACTGTTTGCCCTTTCCAACTTGAAATCTGGAGGCAGAATGTCTTTGGGCATATCCAGTAAGCATGATAGAGTTACACTTGTTGGTGTTAAATGGTGTCGAGTTGGTTCTGACTCATCGCAACCCTGTATAGGGTTTCTGAAGAGCTGCTGATGAGTTTGAATCTCAGATCTTGTGGTTAAAACCAACCTTGAGGTCAAATGCTTAACCTACAGTGCCACACCAGGACTTCAGAGTTACAGTAGAATCTAGGTTTTATGACTTGCTGAAGGAGAGGTCTACATGCCCCCTTGGTGATTCTTGTGTACACTAAAATTTGAAAAAACACTGGCTGTTTAATTAAATGATTTAATTGGCTCCTATGTAGGTTGTGGGTTAATGCACTGGATTGCAAAGTCAGTTTGAACTGCAAAGTTGGTGGTTCAAGCTCACCAGCCGCTCCTTGGAGACCCTATCTATACAGGATCCCTATGAGTTGGAACCGACCCGATGGCAGTTAACAACAGCAAGAAGGTTCATATACAATCTGAAGTTATGTAAAGTAAAGCTCTTCTTGAACATACATTTCCTTGTAGGAGGTCAACCAGAGCTAATGTGACCCACATTTTCTGCATTAAATAAGAAGCTTGCTTTCCCAGTGTGACTTTCAGGGTCTTTTGTAAGGAGGATACTTGCTTAGAACCCCCATTATGCAGCACCATTAGTAAAACAAGAGAAGTTCTGATGGCTTGAAGTAAACCCTTGTGATTCCTTTTTCTTCCTAGCTGGATTAACTAAGGAAGAACTTCAAATGCTGGACAAAGATTTGATGCCGTATTTCCAGCCATCAGCAATCAAAGGCCTTCCTGATGAGATATTCAAAGTAAGTGCTCAGTTCTTCCAGGAGAAATGGGAGCTTGATCCTATTTAAAATCACAAGGGGAAGCAGACAACAAGTCTCTGGTTCTAGGAATTTGCAAACAGAACCTACCTTCTGCTAACAGGGCCAGAGGAGATCTGAATACCAGCAATAGAATTTTAGGTAGTTTATGGGTGAATTTTTCTTCTTTAATTTTTAATTTATGTTTTAATTATATTTATTTTTATGGCTACTTTCTCTTTATAGCAAGTGGTATTCATTTTCTATGTATGGCTCTGTGACAGTTTTAAAATCCTTATTAGACTGTTTCAAGAATAAAAAATGTTCACCTTTTAGAAGGACCACTCTGTAAATGTACTGAGTAGAACTTAACGCTCCCAGCGCTATCTGGGGAAGCACCTTGTAAGCAAACACATTAATATTTCTGCAGATCAATCTATGACAAGTCACACTAATTGGAATAAATAGAGACTATAAATAGCCACATATCAATTCAGATCAGGTTTTCATGGCAAATTATATTTGCCTGAAACTTTGGAAGAACTTTCAGTTTGCAAACTTTTTTGGATTTCCGAATTGCTTATGACAGATTGTGGGCCTGTATAACATTTCCTTTGGAAATAATTTTTAAAAATTACTTGGTTTCAAGAAGAATATTAAGAAAACCACATTAGGATGTGTGATAAGCTAGTATGATAAAAAAACGGAGACAAGTAGAGTGTTTGGTGGGAAGGTCTGCTCCAATCAAAAGGAGTGACCCTGGTATTCTTGCTTGCTAGGTAACTTAGGGACATTCTGTCTGCCACAGCTAGATAAGGCTACAGAATTTCCATGATGTCACATCATTGATTCATTTCAAGATAGACAGCTGGACTTGAACCACCTTCAGCACCCGGGACAGTTCCCAGATCACAAAGGGGATCCTTGTCTGGTTCCTATTCCCATGAGAATATTTTTAGTCTCTCTTCGTTATCTCTATACCCTCATTATATATATTTTTTGTATATATATAAATTATATATGTATAATTATGCTGAGGAATTAATAATGTTGAAGAATTTCCTTCTATTCCTATTTGACTGAGTGTTTTTAATCAAGAACGGATGTTATATCTTGTCAAATTCCTTTTTTACATCTATTCATGCAGAATTTATGTTTTATTTATGGGGCAGATTATGTTAATTGGTTTTCTAATATTTAACCAAGGAGCTCTGGTAGCGTAGTGGTTATGAATTGGGCTGCGAACCGCAAGGTCAGCAGTTCAAAACTACCAGCTGTTCCGCGGGAGAAAGATGAGGCATTCTGCTCCCGTAAAGATTTATAGCCTTGGAAACCCTGTACAGGGTCGTTATGGGTTGGAACCAACTCGAAGGCACTTAACAACAACAACAACAATATTTAACCATCCTTGCATACCTCCTCTGAATCTCCATTAAGTCATGAAGTTATTTTCATTTTTTTTTCCAATATGTTGTTAGATTCTATTGGCTAGATTGAGAATTTCTGCATGAATGTTTGTGAGGAATATTGGCCTATAATTTTACTTTTCAATAATGTCTTTGCCTGGTTTTGGTATCAGGGTTATGTTTGCTTCACAGAAGGGGTTTGTGAGTATTCCTTCATTTACTATGTTTTGGAAATTTGAGTAGAATCAGAATCAGCTCTTTTTTGAATGTTTGATAGAATTTACCAGTGAAGCTGTCTGGGCAAGGACTTTGTTATTGGGAGTGTTGTTGTTGTTTTAAAATCATCTGCTTATTTTCTTCTTTTGTGATACGTTTGTTCAAATTTTCTACCTCAGATTGTGTTAGTGTAGATAGGTAGTGTGTTTTTAGAAAACTGTCCATCTTTTCTAGTTTTTCAAATTTGTACAGTTCTTCATAGTATTCCATTATTATCTCTTTTATTCTCCAGTTGGTTCTGTTATGACATTACCTGTTTCATTTCTTATTGTGTTATTTGCATATTCTCCTTATTGTCCTGTATTAAATTTGCCAGTGTTTTTAAATTTTGTTAACCATTTCAAAGAACCAACTTCTAGTCTTATTGATGCTCCTATTGTATTTCTGTTTTCTATTTCATTTGTTTCTGCTCTAATCTTTATTGTTTCCTCTGTTCTGGTGACTTTTTTTGCTATTGTTTTCCTAATTGTTGGAGGTGTTGGGTTAAGGTGTTGATTTTTTGGTTCTTTCTTCTTTTTTGATATGTGCATTTATTGCGATAAATTGCCCCTGACTACTGTTTTGCTGTGTCCCTAAGGTTTTGATATGTCGTGTTTTCATTCTTGTTTGACTCAGGAATTTTTAAATTAAAAAAAAAATTTTTTTTTCTTATATTATCCAGTAGTTTTAAAGCAGGGTGTTATTCAATTTCTGTGTTTTTTCCCCCTTGATCTTCCTGTCGTTGATTTCTAATTTTATAGCATTGTGATCTGAGAGATTGATTTGTAGTATTTTGATATTTTAAAATTTATTGAGACTTGCTTTATGGCCTAACACATGGTCTATTCTGGAGAATGTTCCATGTGTACTGGAAAATAATGTATATTGTGCTGTGTTGGGTGTGGAGTGTTCTATGTATGTTTATGAGATCTAGTTGTTTAGATTGTCTCTATCTTTGTTTAGTTTTGTATTAGTTGTTCTGTCCTTCGTCTAAAGTGGTGTATTAAAGCCTCCTACTATTTTGTGGAACCCTGGTGACATAATGGGTTAAGCATTGGGCTGCTCATTGTAAGGTTGGTAGTTCAAACCCATCAGCCATTCCATGGGAGAAAGATTTACAGTCTGAGAAACCCTAAGGAGCATTTATTTCTACTCTGTTCTCTAGGGTTTTTATGAGTGGGACTTGATTCAATGTCAGCTGGTTACCACTATAGTTTTAGGTTTTACATTTATGTCTTTTCAATTCTATTTAAGTTTGATTTATGTATTTTGATTCTTTCACTGGGTGCATAGATCATTTTGTTTACTTGGTTATTTATGTCCTCTTGTTGGATTGACACTTTAGTTAATAACCTTAGATAATGACCTTCCTCATCTCTTTTGCTGTTTTTTGCTTTAAAGTGTATTTTATGAAAAAATTAATTTTGCCATTCCTGCTCTTTCTTGGTTGCCATTTGCTTGAGATATGATTTTCCATCCTTTGATTTTTAGCTTATTTTTGTCTTTGTGTCTAACGTGTGTCTCTTGTAGACAGCATATTGATGGGTCATGCTTTCTTATCCATTTTGCTACACTCTGTCTCTTGACTGGAGCGGACTCAGCACTTAACAACAACAACACTCATCTGAGTTTATGTGTGTACCCTCTGGAAACCTATTCTTAAGCTTTTACAATATTGGTCTCATACAGTACTTGTCCTTTTTTGATTCACTAATTTCACTCAGCATGATGTCCTCTAGGGTCTTCCATGTTATGAGGTGTTTCACAGAGTCATTGTTATTCTTCAGGGCTGCACAGCATTCCATTGTGTGTAAGTACCAAAGTTTGTTTATCCATTATTCCACTGATGGGTATTTAGGCTGTCTCCATCTTTTTGCTCTTGTCAATAGTGCTGTATATTGACACTATTGCCAATGTTGAACATTGGCATGTATATATCTACTTGTGTTCTGGCTCTTATTTCTTGTGGATATATACCAAGAGGGATTGTTGGGTCAAATGGTATTTCTATTTCCAACTTTCTGAGGAAGCACCATACTGTTTTTCAGAGTGGTTGAACCATTTTAAAGTCCCACCAACAATGTAGGAGGGTACCAGTCTCTCCACACCTTTGCCCGGGTTTGTTGTTTTCTGTTCTTTTGAACTTTGCTGCTAAGGCTGGGGTGAAATGATGGAGTCCTGGTGTGGTGCTGTGGGTTAATGCGTCAGACTGCAAAGCCATTTGAACTGCAATGTAGGTGGTTCAAGCTTACCAGTTGCTCCTTGGAAACCCTATACAGGGTCACTATGGGTTGTAATCAACTCGATGACACTTAACAACTACAAATGGTCAATTGGTATAACATAGTCCTGGCATAACACTCCTGGTGCGTGGCACTTCAATTAGCACTGAACTTCTTAACCAAAAGGTCAGTGGTTCAAACCCACCAGTCACTCATCAGAAACTCTCTACAGAGTTGCTAGAGTCAGAACCAATTCAATGGCACTTAGCAGCAGCAACAACAGTGGGTATTGATCATGAACATTTCTTCATATGTTTGTTGGCTGCCTGAATGCCTTTCTTGTTCATGTCCTCTGCCCATTTCTTAAATTGGGTTGTTTGTCTGTTTTCTTGTAGAGGTGTTATACTTTTCTATAAACTTTAGAGTTTAGTTCCTTGTCTGATAATGTCATTGCAAACATTTTTTTCCCCAGTCTTAGGTCTCTTTTTTTATCCTTTTGTTGAAATCTTTGGATGTACTTAAGTGTCTAATTTTTAGAAGGTCTCAGTTATTTATTTTGTCTTCTACTGTTTGTTTTAAATTATGTTTGACAGTGTGCTTATGGCATGTATTAGAGGCCCTAAGTTTGTCCCTAGTTTTTCATTGATGGTCTTTATAGTTTTAGGTTTTATATTTATGTCTTTAGTCTACATTGAGTTTGTTTTTGTATAGGGTGTGACATTACGCTCTTGCTTCATTTTTCTCTAAATGGATTTCAAGTTTTGCCAGCACCGTTTGTTGAAGAGACACTCTCTTCCCTACTTAATCTGTTTTGGCTCTCTGTTAGAGATCAGTGGACTGTCTATGGGCAGACTGACTTCTGGGATCTCAATTCTGTTCCATTGATCTATGCATCTGTCGTTGTACCAGTGCCAGGCTGTTTTGACCACTTTGACTGCGGAGTAGAGTTTGAAATCAGGGAGTGAGAGGTCTCCAATTTTGTTCTTCTTAAGCAATGCTTTGCTTATCCAACAACATCTCCTTCCTTTCCATATAAAGTTCATGATCAATTTTTCCATCTCTTTAAAGACTGATGTTGGAATCTGGATTGGGGTTGCACTGTATCACAGGTTGCTTTGGGTAGTGTTGACATTTTCATAATGTTAGAAAACTTCTATTTTAACATTTAGTTTATTTTAATAGTGGAAAGAATTGATTGATTTTAAGGAAAAATACTAAATGAGCTAATAACCGTACAGTTGGTTCAAACCCACCAGTGGCTCTGCTGGAGAAAGACGAGGCTGTGTGTTGACATAAAGATTTACAATCTTGACAACCCTAATGAACTGTTTTACTCAGCCCTGCGCAGTGGATCCATACCATAAACACTGGACTTCGGACCGCAAGGTGGACTGTTTTAGCTTTCCATCCGTCCTGCGGGAGAGAAAGATGAAGCTTTCTGCTCCATTAGAGATGAAAAAACCTGGAAATCCCTATACTGCATCCTATGAGTGGGAACCAGTTCAAAGGCACTTAACAAACAACATAGGGTCGCTGTGTATCAGAATCCACGGTGATCGTTTATTTTTTTTTATTGGGAGCACAAATGATGAGAAGCCGGGGCTGGGGCGCTGCCCTCTTTCTCTGCTGCAGGACCTGTCCGCTGAGCAGATCGCCTCTTTGGGCCCTGAGAATGCGGCGGCTGTGACCAACGCCCAGCGCCGACAGCTCAGCATGCAGCAACTGCAAAGCCTCCAGCATGCGTTAGATGGCGCTAAGGCCCGCTCCTGGCTGGACACACCTTTGAGCGCCAGCCCCACCCGGATCCCCTCCTCACATTCTCCACCAGGTGAGCCAAGCCTTTCCTTACCCTGCCCTCACTCCCCACTCCGACCCCCTTCCCTGTACCTGGGTCCTCCTTTCAGCGCTTGAGGCAGAAATATTGTAGAATTTGAATAGAAGATTCTTCACCTAGAGAAAAATCCGAAGCCCCTGCTAATTTTACATAAAGGGTTCTCATCTCTGGTTGGAGTCGGTTCCCACTATTTCCGATGCTGTAAATCTTTACGGAAGCAAAAAGCCTTATCTTTCTCCCGCAGAACAGCTGGTAGTTTCCAACTGCTGACCTTAAGGTTCACAGCCCAATTCATAACCACTATGCTACCAGAGCTCTCGTCTCTAGCTGCCCTTTAAAGTTACCTGGGAGCTTTTAAAAACAGTCAATTCTCCGGAGTTCACCTAGGACCTGTTGAATCAGCATCTCTGGGTACTAAATTCATTCTATCCTTCTCACTGCCCTGAGGCAGCCACTGTCAGCAGCTTCTTATGTATCTCTGTTCAGAGGTATTCTGTGCACATAAAAGCTGATCAGATACAGAGCACCATCCAGCTTTTACAAGTGCCTATTAGGAGTTCTGGTAGCGTAGTGGTTACGAATCGGGTTGCGAACCTTAAGGTCAGCGGTTCGAAACTACCAGCTGCTCCGCGGGAAAAAGATGCGGCTTTCTACTACCGTAAGGATTTACACTCTCGGAAACCCTGTACAGGGTCGCTATGGGTTGGAACCGACTCGAAGGCACTTAACAACAACAACATTGTGAGTCCTGGTGTGGCGCTGTGGGCTAATGCACCAGACTGCATTTAGCATTGAATTGCAAGGTCTGCAGTTCAAGCTCACCAGCTGCTCCTCGGAAACTCTATACAGGGTCGCTATAGGTCGGAACTGACTCGACGGCATTTAACAACAACAACAAATTGTACACCTTGGAAACCCTATACAGGGTCGCTATGGGTTGGAACCGACTCTACGGCACTTCAGAACAACAATTGTACACCTTCGACTCCTGGTGTGGTGCTGTAGGATCCACAGTAGCCTGAGAACCACAAGGTCAGCAGTTCAAACCCACCAGCTGCTTTTTGGAAACCCTATACAGGGTCACTATGAGTCAGAACCAACTCAATGACACTTAACAACAACAATTGTATACCTAACCACACTTTCTGGAACAAGTTCCATATCTCTGCATAGGAGCTGTACAATTGTTGGCTTTATGGCTACACCAAAACTTTATTTAACCTTTATAGATGAACATTTCTGTTTATTTTCCAGTGTTGTTAAAAACAGAGCTGCAGTGAATGCCCAGGTCTAGTTTATATCTGACTATGTCTATAGGACATATACACTTGTGATTTTGCTGGATATTTGCCAAATCTCTTTTACTGTGACTGTCCCAGTTTCCCCTCCAACCAGTAGTGTCAGAAAGTGATGTTGTTGTTGTTGTTAAGTGCTGTGGAGTCGATTCTGACCCATAGCGACCCTATATAGGGTTTCCAAGGAGTAGCTGGTGAGCTTGAACCACCGACCTTGCAGTTCAAACGGCTTTGCAGTCTGGTGCATTAACACACAGCGCCACACCAGGGCTCCAGAAAGTGATGAGGGCCCTTTACAAAGATGTCTCAGACAGGGAAGGTTTTAGGTGCCCCCTCCTCCCATGTATCACAAGGCCTCATTGGAGCAGGCCATTAATCTCCTGGTTCCTAAATTTGCTTAACTATTAGAATCACCTGGGATGATGCTGAAACATTCAGATTTCTGGGCCCTTTCTCAGACATGCCAAATCAGAATCTACAGGAGCTGGGAGGCCTGGAATTTGCATATTTGACAAGCTCTCAGGTGACTCATGATTAAGGCACATCTGGTACTCACTGATTCACACTATTTCATTTAATTCTCACTATTCATCTAATTGAGGTCAGTAAGGAGCTCTGGTATGGATTGCATCTCAATGTAAAGAAAACAAAAATCCTTACCACTGGACCAATAAACAACATTCTTATCAATGGAGGAAAGATCGAAGTTGTCAAAGACTTCATTTTTCTTGGATCAACCATCAACACTCATGGAAGAAGCAGTCAAGAAATCAAACAATATATTGCATTAGGTAAATCTGCACAAGACCTTTTTAAAGTGTTGAAGAGCAAAGATGTCAGCTTGAGGACTAAGGTGCGCCTGACCCCAAAACTTCATAAGCATGTGAAAGCTGGACAGTGAATAAGGAAGATTGTAGAAGAATTGATGCTTTTGAATTATGGTGTTGGAGGAAAATGGAGTGTCATGGGCTGCCAAAAGAACCAACAGATTTGTGTCGGACAAAGTGAGAGTGCTCCTTGGAGGCCAAGATGGTCAAACTTCATCTCTCATACTTCGGACATATTATCAGGAGAGACCAGTCGCTAAAAGGATATCATGTTTGGTAAGGTGGAGGGTCAGAGAAAAAGAGGAAGACCCCCAGATGGATTGGCAAAGTGGCAGCATCAATGGGCTCAAGCGTGGCAACAATTGTGAGGTTGGCACAGGACCGGGTAGTGTTTCATTCTGTTGTGCATAGGGTTGCTATGAATTGGTATCGACTTGATGGCACCTGACAACAAGAACAAGGCGTTCTGGTGGCTTAATGGTTATGAATTGGGCTGCTAACCTTGAGGTCAGCAGTTAGAAACTACCAGCTGTCCAGCGGGAGAAAGATGAAGCTTTCTACTCCGTTAAAGATTTATAGTCTCAGAAATCCTGTACGGGGTTGCTATGAATCGGAACTGACTCCACAACACATAACATCCACCATTGTCATTTTGGACTCCTAGTGTGGCACTGTAGGATCAGCACTGGACTGCGGACTACAAGGTTGGCAGTTCAAACCCACTAGATGCTCCTTGGAAATCCTATACAGGGTTGTTATGAGTTGAAATCTACTCGACAACACTTAACAGCTACAACATTTTCACTTAAGGAACGAGGAATGTAAGGTTCAGCAAGACTGAGTGAGTGGTCCCAGAGAGAAACTCACAAAGGGGACATTCGGGCTACTCAGACCTCATGGGCACTCTTGTCTTGTGCTTTGTTTCAGGAGCTCCTATCTGCTTGGGTCTTTGGCCTGGCTGCCTTCTGTTGGTTTTAATGTCCAGGCCCCTGTGGTGAGCTGTGCAGCCTGCTGCCCTTCTGGTTCCCTATGCAGTGGGGCAAGGCACGTCAAGACTCAGGCTGGGGGACCCCGGACTCCTTGATATCGAAACGGCACCTTAAGGAAAATATAATGATTAAAAACAGTCTTGCAAATAAATTCTGAAGCTGGCCTGTCTCCTGAGCAGGGAGCCAGTCTCTGCCCTATCACAGCCTTTCCCTCTCCCCAGATTGGAGACAGAAACTGGGGAGGGAAAGAGGGCGCCCATTTTCTGTCTGTACAGTGAGAACCATATACCAGTTACTGCCCCCTTCTGAGAGGGGGTGGTGGTGCAGGCAAAAGGCCCTGTTTCAGCCAGGGCCTGATCTGGGTCCTGCTCTGTCTTGATTTCACTTCTTTGGAGCTACATGCTCTGTTGGCTTTTTCCTTCTGCGATATTTAGCAAAGCAGAAATAAATGTAATCCTCAACAGCAGTTGCTCTTTCTGTGCCTGATTACTAGGACAAATTGTTGTTCAGTGGTCACTGCATTGCTAGGGAATTAAAACTTTTTTTAAAAAAAAGTATTGCTAAGGAGCTCTGGTGGAGTCCTGGTGTGGTGCTGTGAGCTAAGGCATCAGACTGCAAAGCCGTTTGAACTGCAAGGTCGGTGGTTCAAGCTCACCAGCTGCTCCTTGGAAACCCTATACAGGATCGCTATGGGTCGGAATCGACTTGATGGCACTTAACGACAAGGAGCTCTGGTAGCGTAGTGGTTACGAATTGGGCTGCGAATCACAAACTCAGCAGTTCGAAACTACCAGCTGTTCCGTGGGAGAAAGATGACGCTTTCTGCTCCTATAAAGATTTATAGCCTTTACAGGGTTGCTATGAGTTAGAATCGCCTCAACAGTACACAACCATCACCACCGCAATTCTAAAGGTTGATAGGTTGAATCTACCCAGTGACGCCTTGCAAGAACAATCTGGCTTTTTATTTTTGTAAAGATTGCAGCCAGGAAAACCCTGTGGAGCAGTGCTACTCTGCGATGCACAGAGTTGTCATGAATTGGAATGAACTTAATGGCAATAACTTTGATTGTTGGTTTTCTTTATCTCTATATGCTTCTACCTTCTGGATGGGTGTCCTTTAACTTCTCTAATAAGTTAGATCTGAAAGAGATTCTATAAATTCCTTCTCCCTGTTCTCTGATGGAAGGATGGCTTGCCTCACAGACATTTGGAGATCGCTTCAGGCAGAAAGACAAATTGAGTTTATGCCCTGAAGGACCCCCAGGGTCTCCGGTTGAAATACAGTCTTTTGCATGTAGAACAGTAGCAGGTCACACTGGCAGATGTGGCTTCAGTTCACCTCTCAATGTCAGCTCTGCCATGGGATGTCCAGCTTTCATTTTCTGACACTTCCCCTGGATGGAGGAAGGAGGGATCAGGGTCCTTGCTTTCAGGTTGCAGCGTCTGGCCCTGGTACTGTTTATTAATAGTTGAATATCATTCCAACTAGGTCCTTGGGGTAGAATCCCCCACTTCAGGCCCACTGAAGCCCCTGATTTAATGGGGGCTAGAGGTCTACCTGCAACTTTAGTTTACTGTCCAGTGGCAATTAGAATTAAGTTACTCTCTCTAGCACTGGTCCCCAGGGATTAAGTCACAGCTGCTGAGGATAGATTGTACTGCCAAGGACAGCTTTCTTAGTCTTGAGATATGTGTGTGTGTTTATCTGCTCTACTGAAGAAATGCTGCCACAGAAGAGCTTTACAACACAGTAGACAACTTTATATATATGTGTATATACAGGTGTGGTGCCGTAGGATAAGCGCTGGACTTCAAGATTGGTGGTTCAAACTCACTAGCTGCTCCTTGGAAACTCTCTGGAGGGTCACTGTGAGTCAGAACTGACTAGACAACACTTGACAACACACACACACACACATATACATACATACACACATACACACAAACATATATGTATAAATACACACATACATATATATGGGAGCATGGTGGCTCCATACGATAAACACTGGACTGGAAACCACAAGCCCCTTGGTTTGAGCCTGCCAGCCACTCCTTGGGAGAAAGATAGGGCTATCTGTTCCTGAGAAGATTTAAAGTCTCGGAACCCCTATCCAAGGGTTGCTGTGAGTCAGAACTAATTCAACAGTGCTTAACAACAACAACAACAGCAATATACATATATACATGCATACGAGGATCATGAAGGCTCTGTAGGATAAGCACCGGATTGCAAACCCTAAGGTCGGTGGTTTAAACCCACCAGCTTCTCTGCAGGGAAAAGATGGGCCTTTCTGCTTCTGCAAAGATTGACAGCCTCGGAAACCCTGTGTTGTTGCTATTGTCAGGTGCCCCCCAAGTCAGTTCTGACTCATAGGAACCTCACAGCGATCTTACTCTCAACAGAGCGGAGCACTTCCTGGACCTGCGTCATTCTCACAACTGTTGTTACGTCATTGCTTCTGCCACTATGCCAGTCCATCTTGTTGGGCGTCTTCCTCTATTTTGCTGACCCTCCACTTTACCAAGCATGATGTCTTTCTTCAGAAAGTGGTCCCTCCTGATTATATTCAAAGTGCAAGAGACAAAGTCTCACCATCTTGGCTTCTAAAGAGCATTCTGACTGGGCTTCTTCCAACACAGATTTCTTTGTTCTTCTCACAATCCACAGTACTTTTAATATTCTCCTCCAACACCATAACTCAAATGCATCAATTCTTCTATGGTCTTCCTTATTCACTGTACAACTTTCACATGCACATGAAGCTACTGAAAATACCATGGCTTGGGTCAGGCGCACCTTGGTCTTCAAACTGACATCTTTGTGCAGTACATTTGCCTAATGCAATAAGTCATTTGATTTCTTGACTGCTTCTTGCATGAGTGTTGATAGTGGATACAAGCAAAATTCAATCTTTGACAACTTCAACCTTTTCTCCATTTATCATGATGTTATTTATTGGTCCAGTGGTGAGGATTTTTGTTTTCTTTACATTGAGGTGCAACCTATGCTGAAGCCTGTAGTTTTTGATCTTCATCAGTATTTGACGTCCTCTTCGCTTTCAGCAAGCAAGGTTGTATCATCTGCATATTGCAGGTTGTTAATGAGACTTCCTCCAATCCTGATGCCACGTTTTTCTCCATATAACCCAGCTTCTCAGATGATTTGCTCAGCATACAAGTTGAATAAGTATGGTGAAAGAATACAACCTTGTTGCACACCTTTCTTAATTTAAAAATATTCGGTGTTCCCATGTTCTGTTTGAACAACTGCCTCTTGGTCCATGTACAGATTCCTCATGAGCACAATTAAGTGTTCCGGAATACTCATACTTCATAATGTTGTCCCTAGCTTGTCATGATCCACACAATTGAAAGCTTTTGTGTAGTCAAAGCACAGGTAAACATCTTTCTGATATTCTCTGCTTTCAGCCAAGACCCATCGGACATCAGCAATGATATCCCTCGTTCCACGGCCTCTTCTGAATCTGGCTTGAACCTCTGCCCTCCACATTCAGCAGTGCGCACTTCTGAAAGTGATTTCTACCATTGCCACATCTGATAGGCTCCAGTACTGTGTGGCATTGGGATTTTGTTCTTCTATTTTGTTATCATCTTCTTTTTCTCTTTTTCTCTTTTTTTTATCCCTTTGTTCTTCTCTTTCTTTTTAGGTCTCTACTCTCCTCCCCTCCCCACCTGGTTTTATTCTTTTTTTTAAAAAACTTCCTCTTACCTTCTTACTTCTTTCTCCTATATTTTCCCCTATAGTTGGGAGCCAGTGATCCTACCTAGCCCTACCCATCACACCTGCCACTCCACCCATGGGATGAGGGCTACCAGCCATTCCAACATCACTGGATGATGGATGGCTGTTGGTGACCAATACCAGCAGAGCCTGCTCTCTGCTGCTCTACATCAACAGCATGCACAGGCTCATTCATGCCAGTACTCCTACCTGCTACCAAATGCCCCCAAGACAGGAGGTAAGGGTCCTGTTGTTGTTGCTGTTAAGTGCTGTCGAGTCATTTCTGACCCATAGTGACCCTGTGTAGAGTTTCCAAGGAGTGGCTGGTGAGCTTGAACCACCGACTTTGTGGTTCGAACGACTTTGCAGTCCAGCATATTAGCCCACAGCGCTTCACTAGTGCTGCTAAATTAGTGACCAGAGTAATATGCTCTGTTGCTTGGATATATTAAAACAAAACAAAACAAAACATCTGGGTGAAGCAAACCAATATATATTCAGTAAATCAATATAATGCTGTCTTGGAGACAACAGACAACTTCAAATCATACATACACACACACACAACAAAACAAGATGGCTCAAACAGGTAACCAAAATCCAGGACCAGAAAATCTTCTGGAGGAGGAAATGCTTTTGCCATTACTGGATACAGAATCCAGAAGAATTATATTTCAGTTCTTTAAATGATTTGAGAGAGGTTTGAGAAAGCTACAGACAAAATCAAGGGAAAGACAGACAAAGCTCTAGAAGAAATAAAAAACAAACAGGAACCAACCAACAAAGTAAATGGAAAATTAGAAACCCTACAAAAGTAGCAAGTAGAAATCCAGAGCATTAATAACACACAAATGCCAGAACTAAATAACACATTAGGAGAACAAAGGACTGGGACTGAATTAAAATAAGCAAGACTGAAGACAAATCACTTACTATTAATCTGTTAAAGGAACAGTTGGAAAAAAGAATGAAAAAAAAAATCAGAAAACCTATTAATTATGTAGAACAATGTTAAGAGGGACAACTTATATGTGATTGGAATTCTAGGACAGGAAGAGACCCCCCCCAAAAAATAATAAACCCCACAGAAAAAATTGTTGACGAGTTCTTGGGAGAAATGAAAAGTAAAAAGAGTTGTTGGAAGCTTTCCTAATATCATGAAAGATTAGAAGATGTGTGTTAAGGAAGCTGAAATGTCCCAAATAGGATAGACCCCCAAAGAAAAATCACCGAGACATATCATTGTCAAACTTTCCAATAC